ATACTTCTCTTTTTGCAGATGAAGAAATTGAGATGCAGAGAGGAAGAGACCTCCCCAAGGTCAAAGAGCAAGTCAGTGGAAAGCCTGAGATTAGACTTGTGGTCTTTTAGGTTTTTCATCTGTTGTTCACCACTGAGGAACCAGCTTCCCTTTTGCTGGAGACAGTTCAGCCTAATGGAATTTGCTCTGCAAGATGTCCACAATGTGTTAGGTGATATCCTAAACCATCCTGCCACCACCGATTTTCCTCTAAAGCAGCTCTTTAGTGCCCCTTTAGAATGGATCTGCTTTTTTCTGCTTATGGTTTGTCATAACTCCACCTGGAGAAAGTGATGGTGACAGCAGTGTGCAGAAAAGAAAGATGAAAGGATCAGGATAGGCTGCTTAGCTGCCAGACCCAAGGAACTGACAAGCCAAAGGCCTCTGCCTTCCCATTTGGTCTTTGGGGATAGAGGACGCTAGGTCGTGTTCCCTGGCTGTACATTTGCACACAGATACCTATCACACACATACAGATGCCAGCCAGTTCTAAATCAGAAGCCTTGGGGGTAGGTATGAAGCCTCAGCAAGCATATTTTGAAAAAACTCCATAGGTAATTCTGATAGACAGCCAGGAGGTAGGTTTACCTGGGAACCACACTGCTCTAGACTGAATGAGGTAAATGATGCTGCTTTTGTTGAGAAATCATTATGATTTGGGTGATTTAAAAAATTAAATACGAATATAAGTCATTAGCTCATATGCCTAAACTGAGGTATGAGTGTTAGAATATTAACATTAATACTGTAAGATCAGACTGAAGAGTAAGTCCTAAGGAACCACATTTTGTAACTGCTGATTTAGTCTAAGACAAACGTAAGGACTGTTTACTCATCATAAATTTTACTGCTCAGGATCTTAAGACTTCCTTTAAAAATTAAGGCAGCCTGAAATGGAGCCAGCTGACTATAATCTCTAGATTGAGTGACCTCTGCTCTCTCTTTTTCAAAAGTCGAACGTTAATGTTTTTAAAATTAAGATTTTGAACTGATATGTTTTTATTAATAATTACAAGGGAAAATGCTCATTATGATGAATTTTTCCAAAGACGAGTATGTTTATTTCATTCTTGGTTTATAATTTAGGTCTCTTCTGCCAACATATTTGTCTTGAAAGAAGATTTTTTACACACTGGAGAGATACTCCCTTCAGGAGGACTTTCTCCCTAGTGACATTCTGCTTGCCACTTTCAGGAATGCTCTACTGCTTTAAAATGGTCATAGCTGTGACATCCTGGCCTCTTAAAGTTGTCATCTTCACCCAAAACTGGGCTATGTGCTTTTCCTTTTCTGCTCTTCTGTTTTACAGGTGTGATTCAGCACATCTGTAAAATGGATCAAAAGTGTGGTAACACAGGAAGACAGTAGTAGACACAGGAAGGAAGAACCAATAATTAAGGGTTCTTTTGTTTGGAACAAATGCATATGCAAAGTCACTTACTGGTAGCTTGAGGAAACTTAAAAAAGTAGTACAAAAGGGTATAAAATCTCTTCCTGTGACATACGAAACCCCTAGTTATGTAATATGTTGTCTGCAATATTTCTCTAGCCCTGAAGTGCTTCTGAACTAGAATAAAACCTATAATTTGTTTTTCTAAAGGTTTTTGTGGTTTGATAGGAGCATTCAGCAGCTAATCCTTTTGAGCAGCACCTGTTAATAGTGTGGCAGCAGAAGCCCCCAGCTATTCATGCGCAGGTATCTGTGGGTTACTTCTGTGGTTGCACCACTTGAAAACAAGCACGGTGCCCCTGCGAAGTAGCCACAGAAACACATGAACACTCTCCATTTAGAACCCATCCTGCTGGCCTTGCACTTGTGAGAAAGGGAAACTTCGGGGAGGAGAGTGGTCATCTCTGGCCATGGCTTTGGCTTCCCTGCAAACGAGGGCATGCCATTTTGATGCAGAGACGTGGGAGGCTTGTGCCATAATGAAAGTTGAAACAGTGTTTTGTCCATTAACAGAGGCAGATAGTGGGTAAGCCTGTGTTTGAAATCTAGCCTCATGGGCAAGTTACTTAACCTTCATGTACTTCATTTTCTTTACATGTAAAATGGAGATAGTAATGATACCTACATCATTGGCTGTAGTGAAATCAAGAGCACATATGCAAAGTGCTTAAGAGTGCCGGGCTTTGTAGTAAGTGCTGTTAACCTGCTGTCATTATTGTTACTATTATTACTGTTAATGTAACAATAACTCTTCCCTGCTCTGGGGTCACATTCAGTTTGTAAAACTCTTAATTTGCTTACCTTTTGGTATTTTCTACCACTGCTTTTAATAACTCACCCACCCAAGGGTAAAGAAGAAAAAAACATTTTCAGACTTTTCATGTTTGATTAGATATTTCAAACATACACAAAAGTAGAAAGGACGTATTTATAGGAAAATGTTATTTTTAAAGGTAAAAGAAGTAAAGTGTCACTTGAAATGTGAAAAGTAGAAATTACCAGCCTATTGCCTTGACATCACTTTTAAAAATATTCTTATACATATACACTGTATATAGTTGTAATTCTAAAGAACATGGCCTTTTACGGCCTTTCTCTACCCAACATTCAAGCATAAGCATTTTTCTCTATTCTTTAGCCTTTACAAATAGTTTTCAATGGTTTTGTACCATGAATAATTAATTGGTATGTTGAATATGTTGCTTCCTTTTTATAAATAAAACAGTAATGAAAATCTTACTGCAGATAGTTTGGGGGTTAGCTCAGAAGGTTGTGTTTGTTTTCCTTTTTTTGGAGACACAGTCTCCCTCTGTTGCCTGGTCTAGAGTGCTGTGGTGTCAGCCTAGCTCACAGCAACCTCAAACTCCTGGGCTCAAGCGATCCTCCTGCCTCAGCCTCCTGAAAAGCTGGACTACAGGCACACACCACCACACCCGGCTAATTTTTTCTATTTTTTTAGTTGCCCAGCTAATTTTTTCTATTTTTACTAGAGATGGGATCTCACTCTTGCTCAGGCTGGTCCTGACCTCAAGCGATCCTCCCGCCTCGGCCTCCTGGAGTGCTAGGATTATAGGCATGAGCCACTGGGCCCAGTCTTTGCTTTACTTTTTTGAGTAGGAATTTCAGCATTTGTTTCCTGGTATGTAAGAATCAATAATGTGGTTTTTTGGGACTGTTCTGAAGTTAGCCTTATGAAAGTGAAATCACCCCAAGTCTATAACTTCTGGTTAAAGGAAAAGCCGCTTTGTGTCAACACCTGGTGCGTGAGAACAGGACTGTGCTAGCTGTCATGGGACTTTCTATTCCATCATTCTCTAGACCTGTGCTGTCCAATACAGGATCTACTAGCCATGTGTGGTTATTTAAATTTATAAAAAATTAATTTCCTCATTCACATTAGCCATATTTCAAGTACTCAATAGCCGCATGTAGCTAGTGGCTATGATTTTCCTTGGACAGTTCACATACAGAACATTTTCATCATTGCAGAAAGTTCTATTGAATAATGCAGTTCTAGATTATTCTTTGACCAGTTCTTAACTTTATAATGATAAAAGCTGCCTCTTATGTGTAGAGTTTTCTTGAGCAAAGTTTGGCAAACTTTGGCTACTTGTTTTTGTATATAAAGTTTTAATGAAACAGCCACGCCCACTTGTTTACCTATGCTGCTTTTGTGCTACAGTGGCAGAGCTGAGTGTTGAGTAGTTAGGACAGAGACCATATGTGGCCTACAAAGCCCAAAGTATTTTCTCTGACCCCTTACAAAAAGGTTTGCCCACCCCCTTTTATCTAGAACACGGTTTCTGAAATCTCAACACTGCTGATATTTTGGTCCAGATAATTCTTTGTTGTGGGTGCTGTGCTGTGCATTGTAGGATGTTTAGCAGCATCCCTGGCCTCTACCCACTAGATGCCAGTTGTGACAACCAAAAATTTCTCCAGACACTGCCAGATTCCCCTGGGAAGCAAAATCACCCCTGGCCTGAGAAACATGAATCTCAAATGATGTGGCTTGGCAAAGCATTCCTGTCTAATACTGCATAAAAATGCTCATTGTTTTTTAAAAAAAATCCATTAAAGAGCAGAATAAATTAAAGAGTAGTTTTTTATGCTACTCACTGTACTCCAGCATTCCCTCCAGAAACAGGAGTGTTTTATATAAAACATGACAGAGTAGCTGGAGTAAGTTAGAGAAATAGAAGTCACAGCATCTCTGAAGTTAAGGGGAATGTGCGTTATGTTACACCCTGGCTCCAAAGACCTGCTTCCTTCATAAAACACTAGGTAACTGCAGGGTGTGTGTTGTTTTTTGCTAACTGTATATGTAGGTGTCATCTGTGTATAGCTGGCAAGAAGGAAGTTAATAAATGTTTATTAAGATGATTGTTAACAAATGCAGGTCAATTGGTGTTTGTCTTAAGAACATTTATGGTTTTAAGTGGTCCATATAGGTTCCTACTCTCATTACCCAGAATAATTTAAAAACTGGTTATATTTACCTCTGCTAGAAGTTAGGAGAATTAAATGTCAAGCCTATAAAATTATGTTCACTCCTTTTAAGATTTGGCACTTGAATACTTTTCAGAGTGGGGTGTTCTGAAAGCTGAAGCAAATGGCTGTGTTAAGAAATTACTCATTTGTAGGAATATAGGGTGCTGTAGAATGTTGGCACAAGCTTTAATAAGTAACGTATATAGAATTTCTAAATTCTTCTTGGTTTGGAAAATGGAGTGAAATAGAATTGGGAAAATTGCCTTTCAAAGCGAATACCAGGTATATCTTTATCTGGTTCTTCAAATTAAAATTACATTTTTTAAAATTTTAATTGGTATTGAAATGCGTATAAAATATAGGTCACATGTAATGGAGCACACTTGTATGGAAAATCATCCCCATGTAGTTTAATATCTAAGAAGGTAAGCAGTTTTGACTAAATTCAAGTGAATTTAATGTGAACTTGCCTGTTCCCAAGCATGATGTATTTCTGGCTTTTGTTTTTTTGTTTTTTCAGATCTTACCAATATATTTGAATCCTTCCTGCCCCAGTTGTTGGCCTATCCTAACCCCATAGATCCTCTCAATGGTGATGCTGCAGCCATGTACCTCCACCGACCAGAAGAATACAAGCAGAAAATTAAAGGTAAGAGGGCAAATCATTTAACCTGAAGACAGAAGAGCTTAAATCTGTTGGGCTTTTGTCATTAAAAGTCTTTAAGTTACTTGGTTCCTAATAATTTCTCAGGCCTAAAAAGAAACAGCCTCTAGTGCTAGTGGTGGTAGCACCAGTTTGCTCATCCTTTAGGATTTAGAATCCTATTTTCCCATTCTTAAAATGGTTTACATGTTAATGAATGTGAATTTCATTGAAGTGAAAATAAGGTTTCAAAAGAACATCTAAAGCTCCATGTGAGTTTATTAGTGTTCATAGGATTGTCTTTTTTAGCTCCATGTATGTTTGAGAACTTTCACAGTGAAAAGTGTAGATACATAAGCCTCCACTACAAAGGAAAGGAATTTAAAGTTCGTGCAAACATACCTGCTCTTCTTAACAAATGGCAGGCATTGGTATCTATTCAGTTTTTAGCATGACTTGCCCATCTGCATAGCAGTCTAGAATGTTGACTTCTTCAAAATATGTGGCCCCTCTAAGGTATATTTGCAAGAAATGGCAGTAGAAATCATTTATGAGAGCTTAAATATGTAGGTATTCACTCTTAAATTTGCAGGTATGAGACAAACAGGAGTATTTAGGGTTATTTGTTGAACTATAGTTTTCCTTCTATTTTTCTCATTCTTCCTAGGTCTCTACAGGGTATAGTTTGGAACTTCTGTTGAGATAAAGTAGAAATAAATTTACTGTAATTAATTTACTTAGGTTGAATTCATTTACTTAAGTACTTTGCTAATTAATATCTAATTTTTGTAGCAGAATACCTACATAGCCAAACAAACATGTATTTCAAGAAAATGGCAGTTCGTTTCAACCAGATAAAATTCTGTTGTGAGACTATTAAAATTTTGACATAGGAATCACTTTACAGTGTCTGCAAACCACAGATATCTTGATGCAAAGTATATTTCTATAGTTCTTATATTCGTTATGTCTCAGCAATTTAACATTAGCCCTATTTTAGTACTTACCTGCTATAGACCCAGTTACAAAAGGAACCAACCTGCATATACCTTAGAATGGCCAGCTCTATCTTTGGGCGTCCTAGCTTTCAGAAATGTTAATGTTGGCTATCAATTTTGTCTTCCTTAGAAATCTGAGAAAATCTTGGCCATCACACCTGATCTCAATGATCCCTGTTTCCTACTGTGCCTTTACTTTCCACCCCCAATCTTTTCTTTGTTCTTTCCTACTGGAAATAAGAGATGTCCTGCCTTATGTTTCAGACTCACTCCCCCCTTCAGCTGGCGATCTTGTTCCCCCAACTGCCCTCTTCCAGCACAGTGTTCCTCCTCTACCCCTGACTGTCAGAGTTCTCCCCATTTCAGAAGCTTTTATATGCTCCTGTGGGCTCCCTTAGGAGTCATGCTATTTATTTCCTTTTCATTTTCAAACTACTTGCTTCCTCACCCTAAACTCCTCAGGTCTATTTTGTTTTTCCCCCTCTGCTAAATCTGTGACCCCATTTCTTCCTGATCCTTTAGACCCTTCTCAAGTCCCATTTTCCTGGACCTCTCTGCAGCTTTTTTACTTTAGCCCCCACCTTTCTGGAAACTTTTCTCATTCCATTTCCTAAATGTGATCAGTCTGTTAGGACTTGGTCTTCAGTCTCCCTTTCTTCTCTTCCCACCCCTTGGGAAGCGTATTCACCTGTCACAGTTTCAGCTAATCTCCTCCAGGTAGAGGATTTGCAAACGTGTGTGTCGTGTGTGTCGGGGCCTGACCTCTCCCAGGCTGCCTACTAGACATTTCCGTTTGTGTCGTAGTTACCACAAACCCAACTACCTAACGTTACAGGTAAACGTGTATATCCTTTCTTACCCTGAACATGAGTCAGCATTCACATTTAGTCATTGCTGTCTTAAGTGTCCATTTGAAAACATGTTTAAATATTGGACAGCCTGTAGCACTGGGCACCACTGGAGTGTCTGAAGCTGCCTCTTCCTGCTCAAAGCCCTTTGCTGGGCGGCCTCTTAGCCTGCCATTCAGGGATCTGTGGTGGAATCAACATCTTTGCCTTTACTCCTCTTAATGCATCAATATGTGACAATCAAATTGGATGAGTTTCAGGAACCCAACTACATTCACTTCATTAGTCATGGAAAGTTTCAAACCTACAGAAAAAAATAGAGAGTAAACTACCACATACCTACCATTCAACTATAACCTTTACGTTTTGCCTAGTTTGCTTCAGATTTTTTAAAAGATAAACATGGTGCTTTCATTTTTCTTTTTCTTTTTTTTTTTTTTTTTTTAAGGCAGTCTTCCTTGGAATGTAAGTAGTGATCTCTTGATGTTGTGTTTTACCATCCCAGCCACTGTTTGCAAGGCAAAGCCTTTCCCCTGGAACAGCCTCTTCTAGGCTGCAGCTGGCAGAAGTTAGGGGGCAGTGTGGCTGGGACTGACGCCTGGGCCCACAGCCAGTCCCCTTCCAGGACTATTTTCCTCTGATGGCACTTAGCAGTTCCTGCCTTCTGTCTTCCTCTCTCTCCTCCTCATTAGTGACCTTGGTCTTCATTTTTCTATCTCCTGAATGGCCTTGTCCTAATAAGCATTTGTTTAATATACATTTGTTTCCTTGAATATACTAAAGAAGGCTGACAGTATCAAATGCTGATAGTATCGAATTATAGTGTCAAAACAGTGTCAATGTGCAGCCACTTCTGCAAAGGGAGAAGCAAAATAGCCCACCCATTAGAGGGTAAAAATAGAATTTCTAAGGCTTTAATAAACATTTCTCTCACTCTAAAATGTAAATTCCTACTTAGTCATGGGCTACTTTAATCTCATTATCTCGGGATAAATGTTTGTTACAATGAATTTGAAGAGCTCTAAGTCACAAGTCTGCAAACTTTTTCTGTACAAGGCCAGATTTGGCCACATGTGATCTCTGTCACATTTTCTTTTTATTTTTTCGAAACAACTCTTTAAAATATTAAAAAAATATATATATTCTTAGCTAGGCCCTGCATTGGTTATTCAAATGTGGCAGGCCCATCTCACCGTTCACCTCATCTTCCTATTGCAGTTAAGTCCCTGCACCTTTGCAGGAGAAAAAACAAAGCACAGGGATATGTTTCTTTTCCTGTTGTGTGTAGGCTATTTACTTAAACAGTATGCATTTAGAGTTTTTAGAAACAAGTTTGTTTATTCAGCAATTCTTAAAATGTTTTTAAGCCAGCAGATTCAGCCTAGGCTGTAGCGCCATAAATCTTCAGGTAAATAATACGTGATAGAATCACTCAGAGGCTAGTTGTATCTCCACATAGCAGCTCATTCCTGAGCAGATTGAGCAACGGTTTTTACCAGCTGCTTCGAAAACCTGACAGGCAGGATCTGTTTAGACTAAAATCTATTCCTAAAATAATAGACCTGGGCTGACTGTAATTATATAACTGCAAATCTAAAAACGATGGGGGATTTCCTTATAAATTACTATGGAATCATGACTAGTCCTGTTCTACCTGGGAGGGAAAAGTAAGAAGAAAGTTTGGGGTTCCCATTTTCCAGGCCCTGGAGTCCAGGACAGGAATGAGGTGTATCTTTCTGCATCACCTGTCCTCATAATCCCTTCCCCTGGGGGTCAAAATGCATAAGCTCTGTTCCAAGAAGTCTCCCTGTGGGATTCTCCTTAGCTTTGGTGGCCATGATAGCTTCATCCTTGTCATCCCCTGGCGTTTAAGGTAAGTTCGAACCTCCCGGGCCTTGCCAGCCTGGAGGTCGCTGAAGCACATGCCTGCCCACTCACTGCCCGTGTTCTGTCTCCTCACCCCCTGTGCAGAGTACATCCAGAAATACGCAACGGAGGAGGCACTGAAAGAGCAGGAAGAGGGCACCGGTGACAGCTCGTCGGAGAGTTCTATGTCTGACTTTTCGGAAGATGAGGCCCAGGATATGGAGTTGTAGTAGAAAAAGCACCTGCTTTTCAGAAAGACTATTATTTCCTAACCATGAGAAGCAGACTATAATATTCATATTTAAACAAAGCAATTTTTTTTATTACTAAACAAGGTTTTTATGAATAATAGCATTGATATATATATATTATATATCACCCTTTAGATCTTGATTTCTTGGTCATTTCTCAACCTGAGGTGCATAGCATATTCCCACATTCCACTTTGGTAGCAATATGCGGTCCGAATGCATGCATTCATAAGTCCACTTGGCCAAGTCAGCCTGTGTGCTGCTGAACTGTCAAAAGAAATAGCCGCTCTGATAGGTAGACAGGAGTAAAATAACAGGAAAAAGTTGCTTCTTTTATCGATGGTTCCAAAGAAACAAACCAAACCAACCAGCTCTTGGATGTGAAGATAGAATAGTGCTTTTTCAAAATGGAAAGGGAAAAATTGGGGAGGAAGAGGCCTGCCGTGTAAGAATCAGAGCTGCTCCTTCCTGAATCCTAGGTGGCCCCATTTCTGTGGAGTAGCAGTATGAAACAGGGAGCTCATTGGAGTATTAAAACTTACAACAATCTTTTTTGACTCAGATCTTAAATACATTTTTATGTCGACTCCTGCCCTTCACGCTACCAGGCCCTGCAGCCACAAGTGTTCTGCTTTGGGAAGTGTTTCCTGAATCCAATTCTGTTTCCTGGGGTAGAGCTTGTAATCCAGACCTTTCTTGTGAGGACAGGACAGGAGGAGTGGTGACTGGGACGATGCTTCCTCTCATCCAGAACATGTGCAAAGTCACATCCTAATCCTAGTGTTTGGCCAGTTTGAGACCGCTAACCTGGACTAAGAGCTTTAAATGTGAGGGTTGTGGGGTTTGTTTGTTTTTTGTTTTTTTTGGTGGTGGTTTTTTTTGGGGGGGAGGGTGGTGTGCGTGTGTGAATTGTGCTTAGGTTGCAGATTTCATCTCCACCTACCAAGAGATGGCCTCCTCCTCAGACAAGCCGCTCAGTGGACCATGAGACTTAGGAGGAAGACCCGTCTGGGGGCTGCGAAGCCCTGGGTACTTGCATTCATGTTTTGGTTTTGTTTTCCCTTTTCCTGCTGCTCTTGGCAGCAGCCTGGTCATCATCTGCTTGTGGGAGTGGGAAATGGGTATTTTAGGCCCAACACACATTCTGAATTTAAAATGAATAATAATTGGAACAAATAAAGGTTCTTGTACCCAAAGTAACTCTACATGAGAAAAACAAACACAGCTTTTTTCAGAAAGTGACTCAATAGGAAGAAGGGATTCAGAAATATGATGTAGTAGAACAGGTCCTGAAGGAAGAAAATATTCTCTCCTGTGTATGTTAAGAGGAAATCGTTTAAAAGGCCTGCTAATCAAATGTTGACTCAGCTAACCATATGTCCAGGTTGCCACAGAGTTTGTTTCAAACCTGAGTGTTGCCTGCTGAATTTGGAGGGCAGTTGGGAGAAGTTTTAGACAGCAGCTCTGTATTCTTTTTTCGCTGCAACCAGTAGGATATAGTAGCAGAATTAGCCAATCCTAAAACCTTCTAAAGACAATTTTTGAACATCCCACTGGGATAATTTTTCTTTTTGATGTGTGTTTTTAGTTTAGAAGTGCTGTATTCCACAAGGTTTAAGTCAATGAGGTTGGAAGATACCGTATCTTTTTTTATTCAAAAAGCACAATCAATTTTTTTCTTTGAAAATCTATATAAAGTACAACTTGCTTTTAGCATGATTATTTTCCTAAATAAAAAGACAAAGAATTTACTTATTTTATGTTAGTTACGGGCATGGAGCAAAAGGTTTTCTTTAAAAAAAAAAAAAAAAAAGTGCAGTTATGTAGGGCTGTGGTTAGTTAACCGTACTGAGTTATCTATCTAGCATCCGTGGCTTGTTGGAAGGGTAGTATTAACTATTTAACATGTAATGGTGTACTTTCACTCTTACCTAGCACGCTGTCTTCTCATTGCTTTGGGGGAGGGAGGGTCTCTGCTGGCACTGTCTAACTTGCTTACCTGCTGACTTCGCAGTGTGCTTGTGCTATAACCTTTATTGTAGGTGCTATTTAGGGTAGGCTTAAAGTGCTGGGTGGTGATTTGAGTTCAAACAATAAAAAATTGTATTTTTTCAATATCGTATAAACAATAGTGTTCTAATTACCTTTCAAAGAAAATAATGTCCAGATAGGAATTGCTTTTGATCTTGTCAAAAACCCGAGTAGACCCCAGTTTAGGGAAGGTATGTGAGCAGTGCCACAGCTCTGCCCCTCACCTGGTCCCACGTTTCTCTAATGACAAGACATCTGCTCACCTGATCAGAGCTCCAGCACCAGACAGCAGAGGTGCAGAATTCCCAAATGAAGACTTGCCACGGGACTTGTAGGGGTTGAGCAGATCTGAGTGCGGCTGCGGAGGGAGAGTGTGCGTGTGTCCGCGTCCATCCGGGTCTGTGTGGTGAGGGTGTGATTAGGCTTCTCTCTCGGCAGTGGAAGCTCCTATGACTGCTGCGCACGTCCCACTGCACCCTCTCGCTCTGTGCAAGTCTGTCAGGGCACTCACCTTGGTCCCACGCGTGCTTTGGCTTTGTGTGGGGCTTTTCCCCTCCACTGGGAAATTGACTTTTGATAGGTTGAACAGAATCCCTTCTTATGCTTTTAGTCCCTTCCCTGCACCTGGGAGAGGTGGGAGTAGGAGACCAAGCGTGAGGTACAGCAGGATCTGAGAGAAGGCCTGGCAGTGAATCCGAGGACTCTGGGCCCCCGGTAGTAGATGGTAGAGCGAGTCTGGAGCGGGGGTGTTTTCAACACCAAAAGCCTTTCCAAGCTGACCAAGCTTGTCACTTGCTAACACTCAGGAAAACGTCCAGACCCCTGGGCAAAGGCGAACATTCTTGGCTTTAGAGGTGGTGGTGGCGGCGGCAGTGGCAGTAGGTCAGAGCTGCTTCTGGCAGTTTCCTTTCCCTTTTTAGAACCTGTAGTTTTTGAACCCTACCTTGTGGTTTACCAGCACAGGCCATTCTTTGCCCCTGTTTAAATGACAGCTCAAGCTCTTGCCAAACACCAACGAGCAGGATGGCTGCAACACAGCAGCACTGAACCCACTGCTCTCCGGGAACCCCGGCACCAGGGCCTTGTGGGTCAAGGTTCAGTTGTAACCAACCTAGACACTGGCATTTTGGCTTTTTTGCCTTCACTCTCATTGCCCTCCTTGAGGTTACTGTGCAGTTTCAACCAGCATTTTATACTCATGAGATAATTATCAGAAGTTGCCATATAATCTCTCTAGTACCTAACATTTTTTTGTCCACTCCAAAAGCTGTTCTGATTGCCAACTGGCTGATCTAAGCTCCTGAGGCGTGTCAGCTCCCTGAAGTCCTGGATGGCCTTGGCCTGACCTTGCTGTATTAGGCCTCCCATTGGGGTGTCTGAGAATCATGGCAGGTCCTCTGCTGGCCTCTGTGGGCCGAGTTTCTAGACACTTGAGTTTCTGGAAACTAGTATTCGATTTTAAATGGCATGTGGCCCTTCTGTGTTTTAGTGACTCGGAAAAGTGAAAGCCGTTTACAAAAGTTAGCAAGAGTTTTATTTCATCAACTTCCTAACTGAGTTCACAGCCATGCTGAATGAAATAAAATAATTTATGATTGGGCACAAAGAACCGCATTTCTTTGGACTTCTGAATCCATGTTCGTACTTTCTGTGGCCACTGAACACCCTGGCAATTCCATTAGGGACTGGAGGGAGTGGACGTCCTTTGGGGAAGGGAGTTAATAGCCCTCGAGTGGGCAGGTTCTCCACTCACCTGAGGAAGGGCCAGGGCTCTTAATTTAGCAAATACTTGTCTTGGCTGTGGGCTTGGGAAGAAATGGCCATTATTTACTGATTGTATTTGGTACATATTGTGTGATACTTGAAGAGATTAAAAGGGACTTGCCAGCCCTTAACTGAAATCTAAGCTTTTTATCGCTTATTTTTTCCTCGCCCTGTCTCCTCCCTTCCACCTTTTTCCTTGCATTGTGATGATCTAGTGGGCACGTCTGTCAACAGGACAAATGCCTCCTCTGACTATAACCTCTTAATAGTTGTGTATAATGAAAACTGTAAACTTTTTTAAATAAAATGTGTATATACCTTGGCAAATGGCTGGACCTTGATCAATGAGATAATAGCCGGCACGATGATGCTGAGCCTGTTTTCTGAAACCCCCCTCCCTGCTCATCTGCCTCCGTTGAGCAGCTCTTGCAAGGCGGATGGCTGGATTAGTTTGGGAAAGGAGTATCACCCTCAGGCAGTCATAACTAAGAAGCCGTGCCCAGAAGTCCAGCCCTTGTACTTGGAACTCAGATAACTTCGCATGACTGCTGGTTATAAAAGGGCCCATGAGGCTTCTCCTCTAGAGCCCTGAAAACTCGCTCTTCTGTGAAATCCTGTAGCCCAAAAGTCCCCATCTACACCCCACCACCACCTAAACCATTCTTGCTCAGTGAGGGACGCCCCCTGGCTTGGAGTTTACAGGCGGTGCCGCCTCCTGCTGGGGCCAATCTGCCAAGTCCAGCCTCAACCGGGAGTGGGGAGGAGGGGCCGGGTTCCCTGGGAAGCTGATCACTGGATTAGACCAGTTTTTCATTTATTTCTAAAGCATTTGCCCACAGTGGCCGCCAGGTGGCGATGTTGCCTAGTTAGTCTAACAGAGACCTGATTTTGTTGGAAGTCCCCTAAGACTGCGGTCCCCAACCGCCAGCGGCCTGTTAGGGACCCGGCCCACGTCCATCCGTGGAAAAATTGTCTTCCATTAAAGTTAGGAAGAGGGGTGCACAGCAGAAGGTGAGCGGGAGCTTCATCTGTATTTACAGCTGCTCCCCGCCGCTCACATCACCAACTGAGGTCTGGCCCCTGCTCCCATCGTGGAAAAATTGTCTTCCATGAAACCGGTCCTTGGTGCCAGAAAGGCTGGGAACCGCTGCCCTAAGACAAAGAGAATGGTTTTCCTTTGGTTGTGCATTCTCATTGCCCCAACTGTCTTGCACTGTTTCCTCCTCCATTCCCAGTTCCTTTTCTCCGACCTTGCATCCCGATGTATTCTCCAGCTGACCCAGCTTCGTATCTGCCTGCCAGAGAAGGAGGGTGAGGCCACCTAGGAGTGAGCTTCCAGTGTCTGTCCCCCCCCAGTGGCAAGTTAGCCCTCACACTACCCCGCTGCCTCCAGCTCAGAAGCAAAACATTCAAGAGGTTCTTTGCATGTGGCCTCACTGACCCCTTAGCCAAAGGACTGAGCTCCAGAGCTGAGTTCTATTCCCAACTCTTCCATTAACCGGCTGAGCCACCACGAGCTCCTATCCTAAGAGAGGATGCTATAGATTAACCTGCAAAACACCAAGGTTTTGAGACAGAGGGTTAGAGTTTTTAGACCCAAAGGGCTTTGGGAGTGTAGAGCACCCATTTTCCAGCCTAAAGGGGAATTAAGATGTACACGGGTCACATGAACAGCCATCCTGTGTGTCTCAGACGAGGCAGCTGCTTTTAAACTGCCCCAGGAGGAGTCAGTGCATTCAGTGGTTCCTCCCCCCGGCCCCATAATCTCACCTAGCACGACTCTCAGGCTCAGTCCAGCTGCTTCCCAAGTGGCAGGTGGCTGGCCACTGCCTGCCTGAGGTATTATCCCTTTCCTGGGAAGAGGGACCCCAGATTTCTGAGGCATATTGTCCTGGAAAAGAAAATTGCAGGCTCAGAGCCCTGGAACTTGTACTCACCTTAACTTCTCTTGCTGTCTCTGGAGGCCGCCCTCTACCCTCAGGAATGAGTGGCTGTGACACTGGACTCTGCAGTTTCCTGCTCCCCACTTAGAACCAGGGCGAAGGATTTTCGTGACTGCACAATCCCTGGCCCTGCAGAGGCCCTGGAGCCACCTGACAGACTGTACGCAGCCCCGATGAACCCAGGGCCTCGCACCGCAGTGTTTGTGCACCCACTACTTCTTGAAGGCTTACCCTGACCAGGGACCTAATGTTAGAAGGCAAAGGACAGCATTTCCCTCTGTGCGTGTGTGCGTGCGTGCGTGCATGCGTGTGTGTGTGTGTGTGTGTGTGTGTGTGTGTGTGTGTGTGTGTGTGTAGAATGAAGGATGTTTATTTTCAAAAAAAAGGCCAGGCACTTCTGTGGACCTCAGATCCTCAGAGCTCTTTGGAGGGCTCAAGACTTGGCTCCCAGGACCTGCTGTCAAGGAGTTAGAGGTGGCAGGAACAGATCTGTAGTCCCAGAGAAAACTGGACCCTTCTGGCGGCCAGTAATTGGCAGTAAACCTGGAGAGGGGCTCATTGTTCATTGAGCTATAGAAGACTGTCGGTTCTCCTCAGTTCTGTAAACAGTGAATCAGGTGCTTGCTACAGTCCACTAGTGTGCATTTATAAGTGTAGAACAATGCTTCTAAAAGATGCATTTCTACAGATTTGAAAAGAATTTATGTGCTGGTGACATCAGCATTCCAGAAACGTGGATGTCTTCCATAACACCCTCCTCCAGAGATGACCACCATGGGCAGGGGCTGAAGAGGGCTGTGAGCCCTTTGGTTAGGAGACCAGGCCTTGGCCACCATTGACATTAACTGCTTGTGAGGTGCCAAGTGGCTTGGTCACACAGATAGTGGCACGATCAATGCTGGAGCCCAGGCCTTCAGGCCATAGATGAGTGTTCTTCCCAAGAATCATTCTGTGCCCAGCCCACTGGGGCTGTGGGCAACTGTGTCTGTGTGAGCTTCATGCCACCTGAGCCCTGCCAGATGCCACCTGGCTGGCAGTGCCCAGAGTTCACTCCTATGGGTGTGGGCTCTGAGGATCAGGGCCTTCCCCCATAGCATCCCCATTTTCACTGACATCAGTGCCCCGGCCTCCTGGGCCCGTGGTGCAATCAGAAAATAAATCTCAGACTCACCCAGAACCCACTTCCTAGTGCAGAAATATAGAAATAGAACGGCATCTACAAAAGTAATTTAAAACTTTCCAGTAGCCACATTTACAAAAAGGTAAAATTAACGTTTCATTTAACTCAATATATCCAAAATATTTCATTGTATAATTCATGGTAAATGAATATTTTGCATTCTTACTGTTGTATTATGAAATCCAATGTTTTTCACACAGCACATCTCAATTAGGACTCCAGCTTTTCAACGTTCAAAGTGACATGTAGTCCCACCAAAACAAAGTTGTTTTGCAGAACGACTTACATTGCTTCTTTTAAAATTTAATTAAAATCGTATGCCATGAAAAATTCGGTGCCCAATAGCTACATGTGTTTCGTGGCTACCTTTTGGACAGCGGGGGCCCTAGAAGCCTCTCAGTACAGCAGGAATTTTTCAGAGAAGCAGGCAAATCACTAGAGCAAAAGTGTAACTTCTCTTAGAGGTTTAGGGCAGAACCCAGAAACTCCCACTCCGCAGAGAATGTTCTGAGGTCTGGGAGGGCGGGGACATCCAGTCCGGTCTCTGGGGGCGGACCCCCGCAGGCTGGGAGCCAGTGGCTCTGTCGCCCCCCTACCCCAGCCCCGGCCCTGCATGGGCCGGGAGCGGGTTGGGCAGACGAGGTGACCGGCCCCAGCGGGCACGCGGCACGTAAGGGCGCCGCCGGCCCGACCCCGCGGGCTGGAGCCCAGAAGACCCCCATTAGGGAGCCCCTCTGGGTTGCACCCGCCCTCCGCCGGGCGCAGCTGCCGGGTCCACCAGGCGTGGACCGCTCCGCGGCGGGCGCGGGGCCGTCCCCGCATCGGCCACCAGGAGGCGCGCGGGCCTCGTGCTGCGGCCCCGGCTCACGGGCCGGAGTCTCGGCGGGGCGAGGACGGCCGAGGGCGGCCCGCCGAGCCCGCGCGGGCAGAGCCGGGAGGTCCCGGGCGTCTGCCCCGCCCTAGGGGGCGAGGACCCGCAGGGGAGGAACCGAGGCTCATCTACGAGATCGGTGGGGGGGGAAGAGCCCCCAGCAGAAAGGGAGTTCGGCGGGAGGCGCCGCAGCCCACGAATCGCTGCCGCTGTGCCAACCACGACCCCGAAGCCCCAGCAGGGGTGAGTGCGAGGCCGCGCCGCCCACCTCAGCCCACCCCCGGCTGGCCCTTTCGGGAAGGGAGGAAAAGGGGTCGTGAAGGCGCCACTCCCCCCTAGGAGGGCGCTTCCTGGAGGAGCGGGCTTGGTCAGACCCGGCTGCGTGGGAAGGAGTTGGGTCGGGCGAGGGGCGGATGCCAGGGCTCTGGCTGACCAGGGGACGCGGCGGAAAAGGAGGTGGAATGGTGGCTTCGGCCAAATCGGCATCAGAGACACACAGGACGGACACGGAGAAGGGAGAGCGAGACCGGCGGGGACGGAGACCCGAAGCGAGAGGGCTGGGCGGCCGTGGGCGGGCGGAGGCCGCAGGGCCAGCGCCCTGGGCCGGGCGCACGTGGGCGGGAGGAAGGGCGGGAAGTGCACCAGGGCTGTCACTTCCGAGAGAGAGTGGGGACGGCGGCTTCCCCGGGAGCGCGCTTTCTCCCGCTCCCTTTTTGTCAGCGATCACTTGCTCTGGGGGAAGCCAGCCGGCGTGTTCGCAGCCTCCCTGTCTGTGGAGAAACCCACATGTTAGGAACCGAAGCCAGCAGCCAGGGGAGGGAGCTGGCCGTGGATCCCCGACCCAGTGGAGCTGTGAATGGCTGCACCCAGGCGTGACGCTTGGAAACTGGAAAATAGCTGGGAATACATGCCTGTTGTCTAAAGCTCCGAAGTTTGGGGTGTAATTCATTACGCAGCAATAGATATGTAATACCCTGTGACTTTGTGGAACCACTGTGTTATCCCTAGACTGCTTATCTCATTTTATGCGAGATAGAAAATTTCTAACATATTTAAGCCATTGCTTTGAAATTTTTGTTTTGTTTTCTGCTATTATAACTGAACCTAACCTTAAATGACTTGATAATAAAGACTGGAAATAACAAGGAGGTGGGAAATTAATTTCCTGCTCTCTTTCTGGCTGCCATACGAGCTTTGATTTCCATTTGCAAGGTCGCCCCTGGTCCTAACTAACTGCTAGAGCTCCAGAAATCATGTCCTAAGTTCCAGGCAGCAGGAAGAAGGGGAAAATGAAAGGTGACAACTCTTTTTAAGGAATCTTCTTGGAAGCCAC